CTAATTTTATGAAATAAACTTTTTCAAAATTGCCGTTATGTATATAAGAATACAGTGCAATCCCTTACAGAAATTTCATGATAATCAGTGCAAACTAATACCTATTTCATACCTATGCAAACTAATGTTTTCAGTCGCATTAGGCGCATTAGGCTTTTTGCCACATAAATAACATATCTTGACCATTTTTGCCTGTGTACAATAGCACACATCTAATAAGCATAACGAGCATAACCTGTTCGCGTCATCTCACTGATCGCACTCTATTTTCCTATTGGCGGATGCAATCAATCCAACGTATGCGCACAACACTCAAAGTACTCTTAGAAAGAGAGGGAAATATATATTCCCGCACCGTGGTTCTGGGACCGCTTCCTCTCACTCCCTCTTATAGGCATTAGCCATATAGTAGTATTACATATATGTTGTTGACAGTTGATTTAAAATTTACATAAACCGATGTGAAATGGCAGAAAATTTGCAGAAACGAGTAATGGCAGAGAAAAAAAGAAATTACAAGTGGTGTTTTGTGATAACAAACCTACTCTTTGTAGTTTTGTTTGCAGATTTTCTTCCAGAACTGTCAGTACTTGTTCCTCCAAACGCCTGCCTCGTTCCATCGCATCAGTGTCTCTTAATTTGTAGGCTCCAATAATTTCCAATAACTGAAACGAGATGTTTCAAATATTTTGGAAGCTGTTATTCTACCGTACCGCAGCTTTTGCCACAAAGTTGATTTGCTTTGCTCTATGGTAGCTTTTGCCACTTCTTGATAAGGTTTTTTTATCATTTCTTCTCTTGCAAAGTTCAAAAAACTATTCGCATTTTTACATTGAGATAAATTGCAGAAGGAAATCAATAAAGAGTGGATTGATAAATCTTTATATGATTCCACTGTTAGAAAATGACGAGGCAGTTGGCAATCGAAATTTCTATTTTTAATCTCTTGTACAAGACCTTGCAGGAAACCAGTATTATTAGGAAGATCTACTGCAGTTCTCTTATTCTTTACCAGATCTTTAGCTTTCATGGTTCTTACATTGCTTCCTATTTGTGCTAATACTGGTTTTTTCCAGTAGCATACGGTATAGCTATAGGTTCTGGCTCTTCGCTCCGACGGTGAACCCACATTAAGAAAGCTACCGCATGTTTACAACCTCCTGTACAAAAAAAATAATATATAATTTAGTAATTTGTACTGATTTAAGATATTAATTTAGAGTAGTGACTAAGTTGATTTTAATAACAAATTATACCTTCGGAAGCTGCACAGTCTTCGCATCGAACATATTCGACCTTCTCTATCTCTTCGTTGACAAGCATCGATACAGAGTAAGGTTTATTATTTACTCTATGTTCAGGACATATTTTCCCTCGGACTTGGCACAAATTACCTTCACGTTTTACTTCAACGTATCCCACAGCTGCATCACCATAATCTTTACCTTCAGCCCTGTAAAATACAGATATTGATTGTGGAATTATATTAAACTTGAAATAAATAAATAAATATATATATATATATATATATTGAATGTATGTAAAGTGTGTAAACACCTTTTAGCTTTAACACCTCTTGTCTCTGCCACGTTAAAAAATTCATTTTCACTAAAAAAAACTCAGTAACCATTAAAACGTTTAATTTTGGTAAATTATCCGATTGAGCTTTAACAAAACCTGTAATATTTCTCGCCATGTTGTAACTGTTTACTTACGCATGATCCGTTAAATATCATATTTGTTTTGTTTATTTATCTTATGTATGTGTCATTTACCGGGCTCTGCTGAATCGTGACGTCACGGCCAATCGTATTGCGTTCACTCCCCACTCTTTTTTTAAGCATTTTTAATCGTTTTTAATAAAAAATCCTATTATTAATATCATTTTAAATTACTTTTAAGTTAATAAAAAACTTATAAAGTACTTAATTATAATTTTTTTACAAATTTTAATTTTTACAAATAAGACCCTATTTCTGATAGCTTAATTTTTAATATCTTCAAATCTCATGTAGACGCTTTAGAAAGATATTATTTGGACTATAGACAGTCTACGGTTCGGACAGGATAGAAGAAATACAGTAACATAAAACATAACGGAAGTGAGAGAAAAGATCAAATGGCGTTACCGTATGTAATGTCTCAACTTGCGCATGCGCGCTACGATTTTGGCTTCACCAACATCAAAGGAGTTCCGTTGAACCACCCGACCGGTGCGGACGCGTCTCGGTTCGGGTGTTCGTTTTTTGTACATTTTTGAGAAAGTGTTGCCGACTTTGACCGTGCCTCGATTTTCCTTACTGATGTGTGTCCGCGTTTGGCTCGGCTCGTTCGTCCGTCCGGACGCGCATTAGAGTGGCGTGACGACGTTGCAATCGCAGGCGCCCGGTGTTCGTTCGGGTTTCGCCATTTTTCGCGGGCATTGCATCATTCTTTGTTTACATATTACGACTTTGTTTCGTTTACACATTACGATTTTTCGTTACTGGCCTTGATGATTGCCGTTGGATCGGCTACCCGGCCAATTATAATCGACAAGAAGAAGAGACCAACATCAAAGGTGCCGACAGAGAGTTGCGCTACTGTATACTGTGATTTGGCCAAAGCGGACCAAAGATGGCGGATAGAAAGAGATAACAGATATTGGTTTCTTTCTCGTATTAAGTTGATTTTTCATGTGCAGCACGCTGTTATTATTGGTTAAAAATCTTTTGTGAGGTGACGCACTGTGACGCACTTCCAATCAGTTCTCGAAAATTTGTATCACATGACATTTTGCTGCCGCAGCGTGCTGCACATGAAAAATCAACTTAACGCATATGCAGAAAGCGTACCACTGACAAGATAGCAGACAAACTGAATATTTTTGATTTATTTATGTATATATAATTTGGGAATCGTTTGGGGAAATTTGGGAAAAGTATTTAAACATTTGAGTAATAGTATTTTTCTTGTTGTTAACAAATTTTTTCACGCGACAAGTTAGCAGACAGCGATTTTATTTAATGAATTTTATGAATGGAATCGATCGGAAATCATTTGGGGAAAACGTCTTATTATTATTAATTTTATTTGGGAAAAGTCGCTATTTTGTAATTCAATAGATTTACACATTGCGAAAACGAATAAAGCTTTAAAATTAAAATTCTTAACATTATTTTTTACAAAATTTCTTGTAATAAAATTTGCAGTACAATTTAAGAAATTGATTTCTGAATAATACCTATGTGTGACAGCCAGTCGTATTGTACATACAGATTTTGTTAAACTGGCGATGCAATCCCGTTTCAAGCATGATGTGCATAATGCATCATTTATCCTTACTTAACATTCACTCAAACAATAATGACCCCTTTTACACCGTTAAATTGATTGGTACGCGTATCAAGTTGGTACGGATTAAACATTTGATACGTTCCTGTTTACACCCATTTGTTTAAAGGAGCCTACAAACCAGAGCAGCGCAGCGGTGAAGCGGCGAGCGATAGCCAATGAGAGCCATGCTTTTACGCAAAATCATGGCTCTCATTGGCTATCG